TCTCATCTCTGTGCATTGCAAATGCCGGAATCAAAACGTTCATCCTTTTCTCAATGACATCATTTGTTCCAGGTACGATGTAGTCTTTTACGCAAGTTCTCACTTCTCAGTAGGATTGATGTCACTGGGTACTTCCGCAAAGTTTCTGCGTGAACAAAAATATGCATAAATTTGAATTTTCGAATGAACGAGAAGAAAAACTAAATAATATTACCATCGATACAAGAATCCATGTATTTCATTTCGCCTATTGATTCATAGGTCATTTTGCCATCGTGTTTTGCCAAAACGCGATCGATTTCTTCATGCAATCGTTTCTGGTTGGATGTCTAGCCAATTCATACAGTTAAAATGTCATTGTCATTGAAGATGTTTCAACAGCAGCGCCGAAGAACACAATTGCCTGTGCGGCAATTTCCGTCAAAGACAAAGAAAAGATTTTTTTTTCGTGCTTAATTTCGGTTTGCCACTCATCGTCCAAGCGCACGGCACCAATGTTACGCAATTGAAGCATCAGTTGGAAGAAATCATTACGATAAACATTATTTTGTTCGCGATAATCAACCGTTTGTTGTACCATTGTTTTTATGAATTCTTCAACACATGCATCAACAATTTTAATTTGAAATAGCGTCATCAATTTTGGAGCGAAAAAATTCAACGCCAATTCGACCATATTTACGGAAATCAGCATTTGGATTATTAACCGTATCTGTTTCTATACCAAACGTTACCGACGCGATTATATTTGTTTGATGGCACGCTGTAACTTCACGTGCATCAAGCAATTCGTTACTGTTATTGGCCAAATTTTCCAAGTACCTTTTTAAATTATCACCGCAACCAACTAACGTTGAAAACATTCCCTTCAAACGACCAGAGGTGAATGCGGGCGATTGTTTCTGACGTAAGCTTCTCCATGCATCGCCTTTTGTTCCAACTAGATTCACTGTCAATGAATCGAAGTCACCATTACAATGAAAACCGCGATCGCTAAAATAGGTGAAGTCTTTGATCAAAATTCGTTGTATGAGATCCAGATCTCGTACAAGTAACATTGGACGAAATATTGAATAGAGGCCAATGTATGGCTCATTTGGGCTGTGATAGAATTTTGCAAAAAAGAAGTCTTTAAATGGCCAAACACATAGCTTACAATCGGAAAGACTTTGAAACCATTTCGTTCCCAGTATGTGTACTTGTGCTGCACAAAAAGGTATAAAATTGTCCATGAACCGATTAATACGACCAAAACGCCCAATTTCCAACTATCCATAAAAAATGCCATCTCTTCGATAACGAATTTCTGCACACAAATCTAATTCACTGGAACAGGTGTTCAATTGCCAACAGGTGTTTTAATAATTACTGATTGTACTCCACCTTTCAACAGCCACTGCTATTTATATAGTAATTAGATTTTTTTTACTGAAATAATAAAGTTTGATAACAAGTACATTGATACAGTAGTACAATAACATTTGGACACTTCAAACTTGAGATTTCATTTTTGCACTTGGACTAAAGCCGATTGAAAAAATTTTTTATATGGCTTTGATGGCGTTCAGTTTAACTTCATTTTCGAATTGTGTAAACTATACAAAATATTTATCGTGCTACACGCATGAATTAATCACAATTGGAGAAAGAAAGACGAAAACACGTTTCAAGTACTTTTCGTCTGAAAAGTTATAGAATACATACGAAGTAGAAAAATTATTTCTGTGATTAAAATATCTATAAAAAAAAATGCAAGAGAAAAGTGAATTGTTGTTGGATAAAAGCGAAAATATTATTGTGAATATCAAAAGCTTTGCATTGATATGCAGTGGACTTATACAAAAGAGTAAAGACCAAAAGATTATCACTGGCTTTTTTATTGATTTTTTCTTTGCACCGAGTATTACAAGTGGAATAAAACGGCGATGCGGTCATATCAAATCAAAATGATTGGACCAATCGAAACGTTCCATAAAAAGTACAGTAGTCACTTATTGATTTGACGTGTCAGCAATGCCATTATTTTAATCTGCGTAATTTTAAGTTTCCTTTTTTGTTGTTTATATTAATTGATTTTTTATTTTCAATTGTCAATGTAGTGAAATGTGTCCAACTCTCAACTATAATACAAATGTATATGCGTTTATTGCCGTCGTTAAAAATGTCTGTCTACTTGTTATTTCCATCATAATAACAAACAAGAAATGCGCATTGAAATGACTTTTAATTTTTTATGAAGTGATCGAGGTAAATGCTTTATTATTTATTAATTTTCATTAAAAAAAATATCAAAATTATGCTCCGCATTCAAAGTTTATCTAATGAATGTTGAAGTAAGTTGGCTGAAAAATTGAGTGCATTGTTAAATAAGTGATGGTGACAACATTGAAATTGCACACCAGGGAAGAAAAAAAATCGCACCGTCGCCGATGTCGTTGTCGTCTCCCCGAAACAACGGCAATTCAGTTTTATCCGTTGTGTTGTGTTGCGGTATTGACCATGCAATGCAAAAAATTCTTATTTCCGTTTTTTGCACCATTTAGATTATATACTGCTTACTGCACTTTTTCTGTGCCCGCTCGGCGTTATTTTGCGTTGCAGATTAAATGTCTGATGCAAAGCATAATGCGATTGCACACCATGGTAAAGCTCAGGTGAATTAAAGCCTGTGTAAAATCCTCGTCGATGGCGTTAGATTTTCAATTTCAGCTACGTTTTTTTAAATGCACACCATCGTGGATAAAATGGTGATCCTTAAAATTAGATTTTCATTTTATGGCGTTGAACGAAAGTGAAAAAAAAAATGGTGGTGTCAGCTTTAGCATTAATAAGTTTTCAGCTCATCGAGAGATATATATATATATTTTTTTCCTATCGTGCTGTCATCAGTTATAAAAATACTTTAGTTGACAATACAACAAAAAACGATACAAAGCAACATCATAAAAAAACGTACAAATAAAACCAACATGTGATAAAATTAAATATTGAAATTGAAACTTTTTTCGCCAACAAGTACAATGTTTTGTGCTAAAAGAAGACCAAAACAAACAGTTTTCGTTGTGTGGTTCTCGTTCCGAATTTTGTTCATTATCAAGTTCAACAACGACAAAGTAGCATTTTCAACTTAAATATGCTCACAAGAAACGTTATATGTTCAGAATCACAGCTCTTGCCTATTTTAAATAAAACATGTTATACATTTTGTGGTTAATGATATAAAATTTTTGTTTCGATATGCAAAAGATGAAAAGCCACACAGATACACTCACACCTGACACCTTTCTTTTGCGCCATCATCATCACAGAAACATCGATAAAATATATTACCAAATTAGTAAACATGCACACCTCAAATTCACAAAAATATGCAAATATGTTGTGAAATATGAATAGAAGGATACTTGTACTCAGAGAGAGAGAGAGAGTGAGAGTGTATAAGTTTGCATCGTGTTGCATAAAATGTAAAAAGGGTGTTCAATACGAAACATTGTTACATCACACCTTTTATATTGTAGTATGGGTGTTTGAGTGTACTTCGAGCGTTTCACCATGTTCATAAATTACATTAGATCCATGTGGTTGCAAAAAGCAACCATCGATTTGCATTTGTACACCCTTTTCCCCCTGCTTGCAGCCATCCACCGTTATCATCCACCGTCCGCCCGTTCAATACACGAAACGCGCTATGCAGTGTTTATACAGTTTTGAGCTTCATTGTTAAAACCAACGCCATTTCATTAGCTTGTTATTACAACGAGGATAGTTCATTATTATCAACTCGTTCGTTTTATTCGCCGGTTTGTTCATTCGGTTCCGTTCGGTTCCAATTCACAGAATAGGGGATCGTTTGGCAGCGACTCTGTTGTGCAAGTGTGTGTATTCGTTTTAATTGGATTTATATTGTGAGTTTGTTTGCTGTTGTTTTTAACTCATTTAGACTGATCCAGACACACGGCCCCTCACTTTTTCCCAATGCTATTATAGCTGAATGTGTTCCGAACACCATTACCGAAAAATAATAGAATCGACACTTTGGAACGAGGCATTTTGTGTTTGTGTTTTACACAATTTCACATTCCAAAATTTATAAATGCATCAATAGATTTTCCAATGCATTTGAATTTTTGATTTGCATCCCCTCATAGTTCAAACGCAAATTTGCTTCATTATACATTCATTTTTCGCATTTATTCACTGATTTTTTTTTTGTTTGTTCGTTTGCTCCATCAAAAGAAATTCGATGAACACAACAATAACAATAATATTCATGAAATGCAAATTTTTAAATGAGAAAAATATTCTCAAAACTTATCAGGCGAAAAATGGTTTCGATCAAATCTGGACCAAAAACGAACAACCATTGAAATAATATATGAGATAGAAGTTGAAAATTGGTTTTTGCATCGACTTATTCAAGATGAAAAGAAAAACTCCATTGAAAAATAAACAACATTTCATTTTGGGCGGGCACACCTCTATGCGCCATTCTCGCTCCAAAGAAGAATTATAAATATATACAAGAATAAAATGATTTTGCACAAAAATAGTCTTTTGAGAATTCAGTGTTGATTTTTCTCGTCGTCGAAATGGAATCGTTAACTTCGTTTGATGTGTGTGTGTGTCGCAGCTGAGCTCAAGAAAAATTTATTAACGCAATGGTGAAAATTGTCCCAAAGAACAGTGTGTTGCTGATTTATAATGTTGACTTTGAGAAATGAACCGAAAACTGAAATGAATAATTTAAGTGAAATGGCCGCTCAGCGTAGTGTGCACCACTTTCTTCGGTCGCTATCGTATGTGCGCCATCCACAGTGCATCTTTAACAGCGATTGAAACGTTTATAAATTATTCACCGGAAGTGTTTCCATTATTTTCTTGAGTTATATACCAAAGTATGTATCCAATGCAAGGCATTTCGTGCCTTCCTTCCAGAAAGATTCCTGTCTTTTCTTTTCGTGCGGTTTCTTATTTTAACAAAATAGAATAAAATAACTTACCTTATAGATGTTGTCAACCAACTTTATTACTTCGTCTGTTTCCATGGTTGAAATCTTTTTTTTAACTCTCTTATTTCCTGCTTCTAGGATTTAACGTCTTTTGTGCAACGTACACACTTAGTCACTTACTCGGTAGCTCACAAAAAGTGAAGCTAATTACTGATTTACAAAATGTTCGCGACACAAACGATCTGTGCAATGAATTTGACGACGGAAAGCAACGCAATCGCGTTCAAAATGACAATGACACGGCAAACAGTTTTATGGCGTCAAAGATAAAACAATCTCAGTTTTTGAGGGGATTGAGCGTTGAATTTCGATGCTCAAACAATTTATCTTCTGCCAGTTTGGATTTTAAGGGTGTGGAAATGAGTTTCAATTCCAACGCTTATCACACCATACACGAAACACAAACTTATCAATTTTGTCTTTCATTCACTAGATTTTCTGTCTTTTCGTTTTACGTCGACTTTGATTATTCCAGTTGATGAAACTTATCGTCTTAATTCACACATTCGCACAAGACAAATGAATTTTTAGCTTTTCGTTTTCGTCTTGAAATAAAGCCGTCGTGCATTCAATCGACGAAAATACTTTTTACGTTACAATGGATATGACACTGAACTACCTCTCAGATTCACATATACGTAAACGGTAAATATTTAAAGAGTATACGTCGAATTGTTTTGATTTTATTTTTTCTTCTCTCTGTATTGTGTTAACGTTAAGCTCGTAAGATGTCTACACTATTTTGTTCTAAAATGGATTACTCTTTACACTTCATACTCATGGATGATACGATGATGCAATCGATACACACTTTTTGCACAAAAACCAATACACGTTTGGTTCAACATTCAATTTCAGCATATGTTCAGATGCAGTGGGGGGCACTTTGTCAGGCTCTCAATAACACACAACTGCTTTTCATTTATTTTCTTTAATGTTGAAAATAATATTGTTCCGCCGAAGGTAAAATGCATCTACGGAATATCTCTATCTATTTCAACTTGTTCTAAAATTGATTTTCGTAACAATGTACGGAAAATAGCATCAATTGCAGCATCGATGATGAACGACGATATAGTGGATGATAGGTCCTTTGTAAATGTTTCTGCAGGCATTTGCTACTTTATACCTCAATTTTCAAAAGGTATTATAGACAGTTGGTGCTTCTGGAATGACATAAAATAAGAGTAAAAATGATTATTATTGAATTGAAGTCAATAACATTTCAAATTAATGTTTTTAAAAAAAAGATACAGTAGACTAGTAAAATAGTAAATTCCAAAGGTTGATAGAATGAGCTGTCAAATAAATTGTATTTTATCTCTACACATTTTACTTCCTTTATTCTCGACGAAATGATTTAATTCGCTCGCTTCATATTCGGGTCCGAATAGATAAGCTTTTGTCTATTCTTTCCTAGGGGATAACCGTGAATTGCAGATCGAATAATTTATAATAATAAACGCTATTTCTCTCTATTTTTCACTAATTCTGCTAGTATTTCTACTAGTTTGTTCTAATACTGCTATTTTTTGCTAATTTCTCTAGTACGTCAAAAATATTGCATACGTCAGATTGACAGCATGATCGAATAACTGAAATGTGTTTACGTAAATGTTTCAAGTTGACACTTTCAACGTGTATATTTGAAGCAGACACTAGCGTATACGTTTTCAGTGTCATCAAATCTACATTTCCGATTGCAATTCGTAAATTGTAGTTAATACAGATGAAACGTGCTTGGTTACGTGCCATTGAATATATTTTTATTTAAAAATAAGAAAAAGCGTATTTAACTACATATTTTGATACATTTTAGTTCAACACTATTCAATTCGTTTGTTTTGTGAATTTTATTTTAATTAATTATTTCAATATATTCAAGAATAAATGCTTACTAAAGTATATACGTGTACAGTGCTAATTCTGCTATTTATTGCTAATTTTGCTATTTTCTTCATGTAAATTTCCCTATTTTTTTGCTAATGTGCTAATTCTAATTCGCATGGATATCCCCTAGATTCTTTCAATGCACAACCCATTATGTTTGTGCAATGACATTTAATTTTATGAAGATAATTAAATTTTCCTTCCAATAATGTGCCATTTCCTATTTTCATTGCGATCATTCTTCTTTATCTAATGTTCGATTTAATTTTGAATTCCACTGCACGGAACTATTCGATATATTTTTCTATGAAATTATTATAAAAGTAATAGTTTGGTATTAAATTGAAGACGGCAACGCCTTCAATGTTTGCTAATGACATCTGTTTTATCGCTTGCAATTTTCGATAAAAATCAGGGTTAGCTGCATCACATGACATCTCTATGTATATATATATATCATTTCCTCTGTCACTATTCTACACAGAACGATGTTTTCAGGCGATTCAAATTAATTGATATCGAAAAACTCAAATGACCAAACTTTCTATCACATCGTGTGGCAATATTAATTCTGGCTAAAACTTTTTTTATGTCGAAGGAAAATCCATTGAAATGTTATGCATTTTTGCTATTGCCGTATTTTATATATTCATATGGGCGCATTGCAGTGAAGCGGAACCGGCAATTGCAAACCGGCTAGAACAACCAAAATCATTAAGAAAAACTTTCTCAATTAGAGCGAGAGGCTCTATTTACTTTTGCACAATGTTGAAATCAAAACAATTGCACGGAAAATAAAACAAAAGTGCAAAAGCCATTTGCCACAATCGATACATACACACATGGAGTCTATCTCGTGTGTGAATGCCTAACATTTCATTTTATCTCGATATTCGTAATTGTGGCAAATTTATGCGAAAAACATTTGGCACACTCTGACAGAGAAAAAAAAACAGAAACAAACAACAAAATACATAAAAACGCATGTTTTATCCGATGGCAGTTCGAATGAAAACAATCTGAAATGCAGAATATTCAATATTTCAATGGATGCAGTGTAGCAGCAACAAAAAAACAATTCAAAGCCATAAATTTGTGTTTGTATTTGTGTCACTTTTTCTCTCAAAACAATCACCACTGCGACTACAACTGCCGACATACACTTGTGCCGTGTAAATGCAGACCATCCATTGGGATTGAAATGACAGTATGAAATGGAGAAAATAAAAAACCGATAAAGGATTCGAGAGTGTATCTTTGGTTTTGCTTTATTCTTTCGGTTATGTGAAATTGGCATTTGACATGTCTGTAATTCAATTGTGGGCAGAAAAAAGAATGTTGAACAAAAAATTCAAAATACAAAGTAAAATATAATTTCCATTTGACTACGTTGACTTTGATGTTTACTATATTAGCCCATTTTTTTATGTTGCGCTCGATCCGCACCAGATTTGGATCAGTGCTCACCGTTTCTATTTCATTATTACTTTCAGTAAGTCAGATTGTTTGAAGTTCAATTTACAGTACATACACTTTCATTGCAGCAAAGTATTAAATGTACTGTAATTGCAGCCGTATGTGTCATGAATCTTTTGCCGCTGCATCGGCAATCATGCAGAAAAATTGGTTCACTTGGCTCTTTGTACTGAGTTATTTTCAACGAATACAATCCATCTGAAGTCAATGCTATGTGTGTGTACTCATGTGCAATGCATCAACTTTAAAATTATTAACGATTGTCAGTTAATTTTTTCCGCCATTCAAGGCTTTTCAATTTTATGCTTAATAAATCAGTCACCGAGAATGAAAATGTGTGAAATCCATTTTTAATCCAAAAAAAAAATGTCTGTCAAATGCATTAGAACTTATCTTATTTATACAGGCGAATGAAGTCATTGGTTATGAATTCAATACGTTGGATAATGATCTTAAGACTACTCATAAGAAAAATTTCAGCTTCGGTTATATGTTTTAACTTAAAACTTTTAAGTCAAAACCAATTAACCTTTACCTACTAAAGCTCAAAAAATAATTAAAGACATTGAAGAAAATCCGGCAACTTTTCTATGTAATCATCAATCTTTTTTTAGAGACAAAAAGAGAGAAAGACAAAGAAAGAAGTATCAAAGTTGTCATTGGTTGACCTTTGGATGGCGCATTACTATCAGTAGAAAACAAATGAAATTCAAGTCGTATTTTTCTTTTTAAAAAAAGATGCGAGTATGACTTTAACCTTTTTCAATCGTATTATTCGCGCGCCAGCAAGCGAATATTGTTCTTCGAAAGGTTAATACCGACGAAATCCTCTAGCAAAACAAACAATGTTTTTAAATTCGGTCTTATCTTCTCCGTATCAAAAATAGAAATAGAAATTGTGTTACTTCTGTTGGTGCCGTTCGATATGTGTATGCAAAACTCATGAATGAGTGTTGGTTGGCATGTTAAGAACGCAGCAACAACGATTGCATGAATTTATTAGTATGCGGTTGTTGTTTGTCGTTTGATAACATTTTCGTTTGGTAAATTGTAACCGCAGCATAACTGTGTGTTTGGTATGCTCTTTTCATATCATGTGCAATACATCTAAACCAACGAAGTGACTTTTGGTGAAAGATTGCTTTATTTTATCTTTCATATGTGCATCTATTATTCGATAGATGCCAAGAAATGGTTTGCGGTGACATTATATTTGCAAGAGTATGTATGTTGTACGTGTTTGTGTGTGTGCTGATAACTTATTTAACTAATTTTTCCTTATCATTTCATCGTCATGATGCCATTTTCATGCATATTTTGCATTTGGTGTTGATAGACAACCAATGCGTTGCATTGAATCATTTCACACAACTAAATAATAAACAAATAACCAAATCACAATTTGTGACGATGAGATTTTCTCTCTTATCAGAAAATTGCACAACACTGATATCACAACCGCATAATAAATATGCATTCAAATCCCATTGTTATTTGAAAATGTCATGTAATTCTCTTTGCATATTAATCCAATCCAATACGGACAGAAGTCATGCAAATATCCACTGTGTACACCAATGTGCATGGTATGCCCTTTGGCTTTTCTATCAAAATCCATTGACCGATATTTTTGATTGTGCTTTGGTTTCATTTGCAAATAAGCTTCGTCTTGGGAAAACAAATCAAACAATGGAGAGAGAAAAAAAGAACTTAAAACCACTTGATAATCACACAACTGAAAAATATTCAAAGTGAATTTGGTTTATAGACAATATTTAGATAATAATATAATATTTTACATTTTCATCGAAACGAGATCAAATTCTAAATGAAATGATTGGATTTTGAACATTTGAGTGGAAGAGTGAGAGCGAAAGCGAGATATAGTACAGATTTGCGTCGATAAGTGGTTTGAATCGCATGGCGCCGAAGAGTAATCAATATTCAAGAATACAGTGGCAGCCTGGCCGCTCATAAATCCAATTTAACGATACTTCTATTCTCGAGAAAAAAGAGAGAATTTATATGATTACATTTTATTGTATTTGGGAATTCGACTGCGTGCAAAGCTTCGTTATTGCTTTGTGAATAATGCCAAAAATGACTTGATGTTCGAGTAGACAAAAAAATAAACGGAAAAGAAATACGGAAGGAGAATAACATCAATAAGCGGATTCAGTACAAAATTTCAAAGACCGAAAAAAAAACCATACAAATGTGTGTTTTGGAAAATCGGTAGCAAACAATGAAAAATGAGCCATTGATATGTGTTCGATGTGAGACTTCAACTGCTCATGCTACAGGCAATAAAAGAAAACTTTTCACATTGTATGTTTTTGGTCGGATGTCTTTGCATATCGATACTTATCCATAACCTCTTTTTGCTCTCTTTCTCTCTCTCTCTCTCTCTTTCTCTTACTAAAAAGAACAAGGTCTTTTGCTCGACGGTATTTATATGGGAAAGTTATTCAACCAAAATAAAGTCTAAGCTAACAATCAACAGTAGTGCAATATGTCTGGTTATATGAAGAATGAAGATAGTGCTTCTTATTCAACAATCGGCTATTCTGTAAAGTTATTTATATGGAATTCTTAGCATTTCTTTGCATCGTAAATGAAACACGGGTCAAGTCATAGCTATCTTCCCATTCTCTGACGAAGAAGAAAAAAAAAAGATATGAAAATATGGTGGTTGTACATTCGAATTTAAATATAGATCAGTTTCGATTTTTCTTTCGTCTGTGTTTGTTCGCAACCTCAGGTTGATTTTGAAAATCATACATCAAGATAAACCTGCATC